GAGTTGAAAGTCAAACCACATGGCTTGGCACTCGAGCGTGAACCTCCCCACTCGAGCGGACATCAATGTCTACAAAAGTCCTAGGAGCTAGCATTTCACGCTCAAGCGACGGTTCCCACGCTCGAGCGGACATGACGAATTCTGGAATTTCTAGAATTGTTCTTGGAGTTCAAACTCAGTGTTTAAAGGTTCAAAGCTCATGTTTTGAACTCAAAAACATGGAAACATATTACATGACATGAGGACAACAACAATATAAGGCCAATTGCTCAAATTCATGTAGCTCGAATCATTTCTTCCCTTAAATCCCTCGAACTCAAGTCCCTATTCCAAAATCATTTTGAATTCTTTACATAGTTCCAAAACATGTGCATTCAATTTCACACCAATTCCTTACATTCATCAATCATGCATGCAAGTCAATTCTTCGAGCGGACATCAATGTCTACAAAAGTCCTAGGAGCTAGCATTTCACGCTCAAGCGACGGTTCCCACGCTCGAGCGGACATGACGAATTCTGGAATTTCTAGAATTGTTCTTGGAGTTCAAACTCAGTGTTTAAAGGTTCAAAGCTCATGCTTTGAACTCAAAAACATGGAAACATATTACATGACATGAGGACAACAACAATATAAGGCCAATTGCTCAAATTCATGGTCCCTATTCCAAAATCATTTTGAATTCTTTACATAGTTCCAAAACATGTGCATTCAATTTCACACCAATTCCTTACCTTCATCAATCATGCATGCAAGTCAATTCTTGACTCCAATTCTATTTCAAATGGTACAAATGACACTTAATATCATGAAACTCATGAAAATCATGCATGCATGTGAGGTTTGGTGCTCAATTCTATTTGTTCTACATAGTTTATGCTCAAATATGCAAATTCATAGCAATTCTATGCATGCATGTACATATAAGCTTTAAATTTTTCAATTTCATCTCAATTTATGTTCTTGATTACCTAACTAGCTTGAATACACAAATTTACAAACTTATACTCATGAATTTATGCTCAAATGCTTACCTAGAAGCTCTAATCACCCAAATTATGGTTAATTCTTGAGTTGATCTTCAAGCTCCTTGTTCAATCTCCAACTTGAGCTCCCTCTCTCTCTACAATTGGCATACTCTCCCTCTCTAGAGGATAATCTCAGCAAATATGAGTTCAAAACCATAATATGAGGCTATATAGGCCTTTATATAAGATGGCCTAATCAAATTTGAATTGGGCTAAGTAATAGAGTTTAATTTAATCGTTTGGAATCTAATTATTTCATTCCAAATCAGTTTTCAATTAAATTTCACCATAGGCTCTAAAAATTACGCCAATTACAATGGCGTGGTCAATTTCGATTTCTGTGGCCAATAAAGCCTTCAATTGTCAGTTTATAACAATAAGTTGAACAGATTTTCCTACGGTGAACAGATATAAAATCAAAATCACATATAATCATATGAATGGCACTCAAAATCATATTAAACGCATAATCACAATCATAATTAAGGTTAATTAACATAATACGGAACAGGGTTATCATACTCGGGTTCTGTGGTTGTTTATTGTTGTCTATATCTTGTTTCCATCTTTTAATTCCTTATATTTGAGTTTTAGGATATATTGGGTGAGTTTGGTACAGGTTGGTTGTGAGTTAAAACAAATGGTTGCTGCTCAGGATTTGGCTTCTTTGCTCGAGCGAGCCCTGGTATTTGCTTCTTCGCTTGAGTGAGGGTTTATGCGCTCGGGCAAGTGTTGTGGGTCCTCAGGTTTCTTTTTTAGACGCAGCTTCCGCTCGAGCGAGCTTTCTTGCGCTCAAGCGAGCCTTGTGTTTTGTGTCTCTTTGCTCGAGTGAGCGACCTTGAGCTCGAGCGTGCTTTTGCGTTTCTGTAAGACCTGAAGGTTGGTATTCTTCGCTCGAGCAAGCTTTCTTGCACTCGAGCGAGTGAGCCCTATGTTTTGTGTTTCTTCGCACGAGCGAGGACTCTTGCGCTCAAGCGTGCTTCTGCGTTACAGGCCTGAAGTTTCGCATTGTTCGCTCGAGCGACGCTTTTTGCACTCAAGCGAGGTATTGTTGTGTTTGGTCGCTCGAGCGAGCCTTGTATATATCAGTTCGCAGCAACGTGATTCTACATCACTTTTTCATCTCCATTCCTCTTAAAACCCTAGATCCAACTCTCTCTCTCTCTCTCTACACACACCTTCTCTCTACAAATACTCTTGATCTAGAGTTCTCCTATCCTACTTCCTCTGTAAAAAGGGTGGAGCTTGGTGTGGGCTATCCTTTGATCCGAAAATTTGTAGATTTAGAGCATCTTGGGTTTCACTCTTCTTCTCATTTGAGCTTCTTCATTTGAGGTAGGGATAATCTACTTATTTTTATGAGTTTTAACATAAATGTCAGTCATTTTGTATAAATGGTGTGATTTGGAATTTGGGAAGTTAGGGTTTGAGATTTGTAATATTCCAAAAAGGGGGTTTTGTGTTTTTAAACTCCATGTACATATGAAGTCTTAAAAATGGGATTTGTGGGTTTAATTGGTGAAATTTGGTCTTATGATCAATGTTTGAGAAGTTGGGGAAAAATGCCCTAATTGAATTTAAATAATTAATTTGGCAATTGTGGGAATATGAAATTGATTTGAAAATCATGACATTGGATGGAATTGGGACTAATTGGTGTAGTTGGATTGATGAATCACTCACCGATGGAAAATGTAATAAATTATCTATTTGATAGATTTATTTATCTGTTTAGAAATAACTGTTTTGGGCTATCGGTGAAGGATAGTCTTGGTTGTTGGAGACAATGCATGATGATTAGGGAAATTAAAACTAATCAATTGGATTGTGTCATTGAATGTGACGGTGGAATTAACACATTGAATATGTGAATTGTTGGGTAATTGTACATGATTATGTATTTAAATACATTGTATATCTATGTTGTGTGGGATGAGATAGGGGGTGTACTCCATTTGTTTGGGAGGAGATAGGAGATGGACTCCATTGATAACTAAGTTGGCTGGAGTGTCCTAGGTGCAAGTCCCGAAACTTTATTTATTTATGGGTGCCGGTTCCCTCGAACGTAGTTCCGTAAAATGGCATGTGAATAGAAGTGTTGAATGATGTTAGTTATTGAAGTGTTGTTATATAAGTTGTAGTCTCATTTAAAACAGTATGGATAATATCGGACTATTTTAACAGATTAATGTGGTTAAATAATAGGAAATGGATTGAATATGACGAAATTGTTGATTGGTCATGGGAATTATACAAGTTAGTTTATAAGTGTTAAACATTTATCGAATGCTAATGTTTTAGTTAATTCTCATATTCTGTTTAGCATATCTCTACTGTGCTTTAGCTCACCCTACTTGGGACACTATTTTCAGGTACATGAGACATGCCGCTTCTAAGGACATAGCTTGGGCAGTTTAGAAGCTGCAGGTTTCTTTTTATTGTTATATTTTTGCATTACATGTAAATTCAAGCCAAGAGCTTTATATGTAAAAGAGTTAGAACTCTTCTTTTGTTGTAACCAAGTGTTGACTTGGAAAGTTGTAAGCCCGTTGGGCATCTACTTTTGTTGTTAACATGTAGCGTCTATTGTAAAGAACACTCTGATGAATGTAAATATAATGTTCCTGTCATTATTTATAGGTCTTGCGCATAATTGTTTTTAGTCATATTTTTTAGGGCGTTACATCCACACACTAATTTCCCTCATTACATACACTTAATGAACACTTTCTCAATACACATATTATAAAAATATAAATTCTCAATACACATCTCTATATTACAATATTACCATCATTTTCAATTTTAAAGCCCCAAGCATATGTTTGGTTTCAATTTTTAAATCAATTTTTTGAAATTTTTATGAAAAAAATATAAATTAATTTGACAAAAATAAATACCCAAAAAATATTTTTAAATTTGTTTACCCTTAAAAGATTAAACCATATTGAAATAAGAAGTTTTTTGTTTTGTTTTGTTTTGTTTTTTTCAATTATCTTTTACTGTTGTTGCCGCCACTTTCAATCCTTCATCGCCACCACCATCGCCAATTCTAGCTCATTTCCCTCCATCCTAGAGCTCTATAGTCAACATTGAGTGATTCATGGTGAGAGACTTGTGGGAGTATATGGTTCATAGGGAAAAGTGATTGCAGACAGATAAGAAAAGAGACGACAGGAGAGGATGGCAGATGAGAGAGGTGGCGCTGGCGATAGAGGATAGTTGTGGTGTTTTAGAAATAGGGTTTGAATACAAGAAGATGAGGGGTATTATAGTATTTTTATTTTAGGACAAAATTGTTATAATAAAAATTTTCATTAAGTGTGTGAACTGAGTGAAATTAGTGTGTGGAAATAGAATTACCCGTATTACTGTCTTTGATTGAAAAGCAAAGGGTAAATTACCAATAGTTCATAAAAATTGGATTTAATTCCCATCAAATTCTATTGAAAATAAATTATAGTACAATCGTTGCAAAAATATTTTTTTAGACCATTTTTTACATTTGTCACAAAAAATTGATAATTAGTGATTTTTTTGTTGCGATTTTTATAGATTATCTCTAAAACTTATGATTAGTGATTTTTTTTCTTATAATTTTTTTAAATTATCGCTAAAACTTATAATTAGTTATATTTTTTTATGATAATTTTAAAACTGTCGCTGAAAATTAACTATTAATGACATATTTTAATAATATATGATAAAAACTGTCATTAATTGTTATAAGATCAATTAGACAATAATTTCACTTGGTAGACCCACACGTAAGGTCCAAGGATTCACGTTCTCAAATATTTATGTCTCCTGTCTCAAATCACTCATAATTATTGAATACGTCTTGATATCCTCGTATAATCCAATGATTATGAGTGATTTGAGATAAAGAGGCAGAAATATTTGAAGATAAGAGATCTTTCCTCTTCACGCAAGTTTTAAAAAATAAAAAAAAAAAATTATATTAAGGAAAAAAGCAAAAAAAAAGGAGGTAGTAGTAGTAGTTGCGAAAAAGTCACTATCCTCCGGTAATCCAATTCATGCTCTTCGAAGCCACCAAATTTGATTGCAATCATCTCTGTTCAAATGGAGTGAAGAAGCAAACAATGCTTTATATATCTATTTATATTTCTTCTCTAAATGTGATGCTTTCTGATATATAGGTTGCCAAAGAAAAAACCTCTTTGCTTTAATGGGTATTCTCTCTCTATTTGCCCCTGAAACAATTGGGTTTCTTTTACACCATTGCTCCAAAACCAAGGCCTTTCGATATGGGACTTCCCTTCATGCTTCCGTAGTCAAGTCAGGCTTGCAGTCCGATGTAATTGTCTGCAATCACATTCTCAACATGTATGCAAAGTGTGGCAACATCACCTTTGCACGCAAGGTGTTTGATGGGATGTCTGAGAGAAACCTTGTTTCTTGGTCAGCTATGGTCTCTGGTTATGGCCAAGCTGAGGAACCCAGAATGGCCATTGACCTTTTCTCTAAAATGGGTCTTGTGCCCGTGCCCAATGAATATTTACTTGCCAGTGCTATAAGTGCTTGTGCTAGTCTCTTGGCTTTGACACAAGGGCAACAAATGCATGCTTTATCTGTGAAAATTGGGTACTCTTTCATTTCTTTTGTTTCCAACTCACTTATCTCGATGTACATGAAATGTGGTCAATGTAGTGATGCCTTAACAGTTTTTAGTAGTACATCTGAGCTGAATTCGGTGTCTTATAATGCAATGATTGCTGGGTTAGTAGAAAACAAACAACCGGATAAAGGGTTTGAAATTTACAGAAAAATGTGCCAACAAGGTCTGGTCCCAGACCGTTTTACTTTTGTCGGAGTGTTGGGAATTTGCAGTACTGCAGATGATTTGAGTAGAGGAATGCAATTGCATTGCCAAACAGTCAAGCTCAAACTTGACTCCACCCCTTTTATCGGTAATGTGATAATAACAATGTACTCGAAGTTTGGTATGCTAGAAGAAGCACAGAAGGTCTTCAGATTAATTGAAGAGAAAGATGTCATTTCATGGAATACCCTTATTACTGCTTGTTCTCATTGTGATGATCATGCAAAGGGTTTGAGTATTTTCAAAGAGATGACAAATGTGATTAGTTTATGGCTTGATGATTTCACATATGCGAGTGCTCTTGCTGCATGTGCCGGCATTGCTTCTGTACGCCATGGCAAGCAGATTCATGCTCATCTGATCAGAACAAAGCTGGATGGAGATGTAGGTGTTGATAATGCACTAGTAAACATGTATGCTAAATGTGGTTGCATTGGATATACACAAAATGTTTTTAATAAAATGGGCAGTCACAATCTTGTATCATGGAATAGCATCATAGCTGGATTTGGAAATCATGGGCATGGGGCAAAGGCCCTAGAACTGTTTGAGCAGATGAAGGGAGTTGGTTTGAAGCCAGATTCTGTTACATTTATTGCACTTCTCACAGCGTGCAATCATGCAGGGCTTGTGGACGAGGGCCAAGCCTACTTCAATTCTATGAATGAAATCTATGGAATTGCTCCTGACATTGAGCATTTCTCTTGCCTCATAGATCTACTTGGACGAGCTGGAAGACTAAAGGAGGCTGTAGAATGCATGAAAAATTTTCCTTTTGGGCATGATCCAGTTGTTTTAGTGAGCTTGCTTTCTGCTTGTCGATTGCATGGAGATGTTTTAATTGGGGAACATTTGGCAAGAAAGCTTTTGAAATGTGAGCTTGTCACTACTTCACCCTATGTTCTATTGTCAAATTTATATGCTTCAGACGGAATGTGGAATTGTGTTGCAGAGTCAAGAAAGATGCTGAAGGGTAGTGGATTGAAGAAGGAACCTGGCCACAGTCTGATCGAAGTGAAGGGAGTTGTTGAGAAGTTCACAATTGGTGATTTTTCTCATGCAAGAATTGAACAGATAGTGCACATACTCAAAACATTGAGTTGGGAAGGGGATAAAGTATTTTCTTATTATTGATCAAGTTATCAGAGAGAAGAGCATTTCTTGGCACAAAGTTGAAACCGCTGGTTTGCAATATTATGAATGTGTATAAAAGTCTCACAGCAACAACTTGAAGTTATTCAATGGTTTCCGGACATGGATAGGGTCATAAAACATGGATGAGGGGGTATCCAACATGTCAACTTTCTGAAGATATTGATTCAAGTGGCTCGATAGAGCTCAGCTTAGAAGGCCACACTATGGAGCAAAGTTATTAATCCCATCCCATACTGGCTGAGATGTACCATACCGGACCAGAAATGGGAACTCATACATGAAGTTTCATTTTGTTGAAAATCTTTATGCTTACCCGGATGCTTTGCTTATGCTGCAGAAATTTGGTAAATTTTGATATACAGTTATACCAGTCTGATACATGAACCTTTGATTCCCAAGTGTTTGCCCAAACCTTGCAGTCATTCAGCCCTAACATTTTGGTTTTGACTTTGAAGCAAAGGCGACTAGAAACAGAGTGCTTTACTCTCCAAGGCTTGAAGCTGCTTTCCTTGGTAGAGAAGATCACCTGAAGCTTTAAAAGACCAGATCGGTTAGTTAAAAGCCCTCCCTCTCCGTTTATATATATAATTCACTCTCTCTCCATCTCTCACTCTCTGCTCCATATTCAAAATTTGTTTGCTTTCAGATTAGGGAAATGTTTTTATGTGCAGTTTTAAGCTGGCATATTGTGCTTGCTTCAATCTAGAACAAATATAAAGCGACGGGCCTACAGAACAAACAGCCCTGATACATAAAGTTCTTTGTTGAGTTAATAATTATGCTTAACAACTAGAGATGGTGTTGGATTACATGTTTGTGTCATGCTTAAATGATTTGGTGTTGAATTAAATGTCATAGAATGTATATTAAAATTTCTAGGTAATTGTAATTGTTTTTTTTAGATTTATAATATATAGCAAAAAGTCCAAAATGGTATTTGCTAGTATGCACAGATACCCATATGTACCATACACAAAAAAAAAAAAAAAAAATGCTGGCCGGTATTAAAAAAAAAAATATGCTGGCCGGTATTGGGATTAACAATTTTGCTATGGAGTGGCTGAGCCAACCATAGTGTGCTGGACCAGCTAGTGTCCTAGATGACCAGAATGTGCCGAGCCAACCAGAGTTGGGCTAGATCAGAAGTTCTTTATTTTTAAAGTTTTCAATCATTCATAAACTGAAACAGTGCTAATTTACTGGAGCATTAGCTTTGGGGTATTTTGGTAAGAAAATGAGCTTCGAAAAATTAAAGGGCTGGAGCTGGGAAACCTTTTTCTGCCGTCTTATGAAGGGGGAGCTCTAGCCAAAACTCTTTACTTTTTAGTTAGTTGCTTTTTCTTTTGTGGCGAGGGGTCAAGGGGAAAAGGTCACCGTGAGTCTACTTCTAAAATTTTTATTTGTTGTAAATACTTTTTTCTGTAGAAACATGAATAATTGTGTAAGAAGAATTCTTATTTGCTGAATTTGTGTGACAGGCGGCAAAAGTCACAAACATGGAATTAGCAAAAAGACTGGGCTGTTGGCTTTCTATAATCCTTTATCAGCTTATCTGTATTCACTTATTATACATTTTGGGTCATAATCCTGGTCAGTTGAAACCTCTATTTAGTTTAATTTTATGTTTTGAGTTTGACTAAATAGTTGTTGACTTTTGATGAAATTTCAGCCATTTGTGGGTGGTGATCACTTCATCCGGGAGTACTTTCTTCCACAATAATATGCCATTCTCATACCTGTATTTGCTGTCGCGGCACTTCTCAGCTTCTTATCCGTTTTATTGGGCTTGTGATGCTCAAATCCAAGAAGGGATGATGCAAGTATATATCAACACAGATTATTTCCCCCAATTGTCATATGTATTTATAAATAATAAAAAAAAACAAAAACAAAACAAAGAGTAAAGCCAAATAGTCTTTATTTGGTGTAATATTCCTGTTCAAAATACGGGAATAGCCTCTCCAGAAATGAGACAACATACTTACATCTAGTTCTCCCTAGATCCCATTTTAGCGAGTATTGTGTATTGGGTTAACCTTTTATTGATGTTCAAAATTAGAATTGGTGTGCCATATGATATGAAGGGCTTATAATTAGAACTTTTCAAAGATTATTTTGACAAGCATTGCCTTTAATTAGTTTTTGGAACACAACAGTGTCCATTTTGGCTTGATTTGGGAAGTTGACTATTTTAGTAAGTTATTTTAGTTTTAAGCTATTTTAATAGGCTAAAATATTTATGTTTGGAAAGAGGATTGGATTTTTTTGTAATTGGATGTGATGCTTGTGAGAGAGAAAGTGAAATAATTATGGATTTAATGTGATATTTTGTCTTATTAACTATTTTATCCTATTTTGTCTTTTTGTGAATTTTAGCCGCCTTTAATTAGTTTTTGGAACACAACAGTGTCCATTTTGGCTTGATTTGGGAAGTTGACTATTTTAGTAAGTTATTTTAGTTTTAAGCTATTTTAATAGGCTAAAATATTTATGTTTGGAAAGAGGATTGGATTTTTTTGTAATTGGATGTGATGTTTGTGAGAGAGAAAGTGAAATAATTATGGATTTAATGTGATATTTTGTCTTATTGACTATTTTATTTTATTTTGTCTTTTTGTGAATTTTAGCCAAAAAAACAAGTAAACCTTGGTCTATTTTAGCCTATTTTTATCTTCTTTTTTTTTTTGGGTAGATTTTAGTCTATTTTGTCTTTTTATAGATTTTAACTTATTTTGTTTTTTTGTGAATTTTATATGTTAGATTTGAGTTTGATGACAAGACACAAGTTCTCTTTGGAATTTGGCTTCAGTTATGCCCTCACAAGCTGTATCTTTGCCAATTACCCCATGCTTTAATTTGTTTCATGGAAAAAGCTTGGGACTCAATTTGGAGACCCAAATGTGTGTGATTATTCTATGTGTATTTTTATTTATTTTTTTATTTTATTTTATTTTTTTCTCACATAGGATGATGTAGGGGTTGTGGGGTGGAGGTTTTATGAGGTCTTAATCATTGCTCTTTGTTTCGTATTATTAAAGTTTATACTCAGAGAGCAATGATTGAGATCCCAACAAAAACTCCACCCCCACAACCCCTACGTCATCCTATGTGAGAGAGAGAGGGAAAAAAATAAAATAAAAAAACACATAAATCAATTACACACATTTTAAGGGTTATGGGTTTCCAAATTGGGTCCCAAGCTTTTTCCATACTCAGAAGAACCAAGCGATTCTTTAATTTGTTTCGTTAGGCCTAAACCGTTGTACTCCAAACAGGTGGAGCATAGCAATTTTGACAAGTTGATAATCTAAACATTGAAGTTTTTACCTTTCTTCAAATTTTTAATAGTTTTTGGGTAAATTACCCTCACCTCTGTGAGGTTTAGAAAAAGTATAAGTAGTTCTATCTTTTGACATAATTATATTAATTTTTCTTTTGGTAAAGTTAAAGTGATCAAAATTAACGTGAATGGTGGATAGATACTAAAATAAACAAGAGTAGCTTAAATTGATCTCTCGTGAGATTTACAGAAAATACAATAAGCCCTACAATTTTAATAATGGCCCTTTTTGTAATAAAAAAGAAATCAAAACTAATACAAATGATGCAAAAATACAAGAAAAAATAAGAAAAATTATATATTTTAGTGTAAAGACTAATGAATTATTGATAAAAATGAGATTAAGCGTTACATAAATCAAATTTTTAAGAAGGCCCAACGTAATTATACCAAAACTAGCATATTACTTGTGCTATGCACGGGTATAAATAAATAATCAAAAATTAGTTTATAAATTAAAACAATAATATAAAATTTATTTAAAATGATTTACAATTAATTAAATTTTATTCATTTTTATCAGAGTTACTAATATGAAATTTTTTTTATTATTTTGATATCATTAATTGTGTGTTCTAAGTTCTTAATAAAAAAATTGCATGTCATAATTTAATTGGAAAAAATTATATTTACGATAAAATATAAATACATTTCATTTTTTAAGTTTCGTAATTTTAATTTAGCATATGATAGTAGTAAATTATATTTGTTAATATACTAATTTTTTCTTATTTTTTAAAGCCTAAAAATTTGTTTATTCAAAATTGTAAATTGACGTATGTCGTAACTTTTATGCCAATGTGACTTTTACCTAATCATTAAAAATTGTTTTTATCGGCTTGTGACCAATTTGAGTTAGTTTGAGAGTTTCGATATTAGATTATATATTAAAAATTAGTCTAAAAAATCTAGTTTGAGTTGATTTTTTTCAACAATTCTTAGTTCAAGCCTATAATATATCATATTTTATTTCTCAATATCATAAAAAAATAATCTTAATGTTTATGGTGCATTTTATCAATTAATAAAAAAATTATAAATATTAAGAAAATTACATTTGAACAAATTCTAACATAAAATTTTTTATTTACATATTTTCTTTGACTCTATAGCCAATCTTCGAGATAGCAACTAAAATAAATTTCAATTATTATTATATGGAAAAATATGTGTTATAAGAGTTTGTAGTATATAATTTTAAAAAGTAATATTAATTCAAAATTTTCAGTATAGAAAATATGTATGACGGTAGTCCATGTACTTTGGTCATTGTGTCATTTCAGTCCTTGTAATTTCAATTGACTCGATTTTGATTATAAATTTATGATTTTGTCTCAATTTGAGCCAATTGGTTACAACACTTAACATTTTTTTTTTATAAAAAAATATGCACATAAGTGTTATGTGTCATATTTTTAAGAGCAAAATTATAAATTTACCAAACTCAGTAAGTTAACATCAACCAATTTAGTGATAATTTTTCTTAAAAAACATTAGTGATATTATCAATTTGACTAAATTGACACAAAATTTAAAATTAAGAATCAAAATCGAGTTAATTGAAAGTGTAAGGGCCAAAATGACACAAGAGGTAAAATATAAGAACCACCAATGTAATTTGTCCTAGAAAATATGTACCAGATTCATAGACATGGGTAGAAATTTGAAATAAGAAAGCAAAAAAAAAAAAAAGTGAAATGTGAACGAAATATAATTACATTTTGAGCCAATTGGTTACAACACTTAACATTTTTTTTTTTTTATAAAAAAATATGCACATAAGTGTTACGTGTCATATTTTTAAGAGCAAAATTATAAATTTACCAAACTCAGTAAGTTAACATCAACCAATGTAGTGATAATTTTTCTTAAAAAACATTAGTGATATTATCAATTTGACTAAATTGACACAAAATTTAAAATTAAGAATCAAAATCGAGTTAATTGAAAATGTAAGGGCCAAAATGACACAAGAGGTAAAATATAAGGACCACCAATGTAATTTGTCCTAGAAAATATGTACCAGATTCATAGACTTGGGTAGAAATTTGAAATAAGAAAGCAAAAAAAAAAAAAAAAGGTGAAATGTGAACGAAATATAATTACATTTTATCTAATTTCACACACCTTTTTAATTTTTCCTTTCAAAATTTCTACTAAAAATCATGAACCAGACACATTATCAATCTTTGAAAGGAATTTTGGATCCTTTATTGTATTGATATACACTATTTAAAAAAACACCTATATAATATTTGGTGGGAAAAGTAAGTTTTTAAAATGGATCATCAATCACATTATATGGGAATAATAGCTAACTAATAAAATATTGTTTTTAATTATTTAAAAAATAAACATCAAGTAAAATAATTTATGAAAAATGTGAATTGATTCATATATTTTAGTGGTATAAAAATCTAAATTTTAAAACTGATTATTTTCAAATTTCTAAATGAATTAATTAATTTTCTTTTGAAATGTGTAAATAAAGACGTAATATTTTTTTTAAAAAAATGATTCAATAAAAGTTAGAATGTATTTTTAAATTTTAAAATTGATTAGCTATCTTTCTTTTTCAAATTTCTAAATTTAAATTTATAAATGGAATAATTAATTTTCCTTTTGAAATGTGTAAATCAAGGTATAATAAGATTTTTTTTTTTAACGATTCAATAAAAGTTAACTAATAGAAGATTTTTTTTTAATTATTTAAAAAATAAGAATTCTAGAAAAATAGTATGAGGGTTTTTAGTTTTATAAGGCTCTTCTCATTAGAAACCTAATTTTCTTTGGCCTCGTTTGGGGACTGACTATTTTAGCCAAAAAGCCAACTAAAACTAGTCACATCACCTCTCTACTTTTCTACACATCTTTTCGTAAAAAGCCAAAAAGTTACTAAAATAGCCTGTTCCCAAACGAGGCCATAGTATAGATTATGGAACTTATTGGATTTTCTCTAAACCTTAGAGTGGTCAGTATAATTTACCCAATAAACAAATATAAATATATATATATATATATATATATTAGTTGAAAAGAGATAACATATATATATATATATTTATTTATATAACTAATAAATTATTGATTAAAAGAAAAATGATTTTTTCTCCGAATTTTTCCCCCCCGAATCCCCATACTGCCCAAAATGATTTTATTTATTTATTTATTCTTTTTTTTCCTGTATGCAGGTCTAAAACAGAGGAGAAAGAAGGAGAGAAGAGAGGAAGAAGAGAAGAGAAGAGAAGAGAAAGAGGAGGGGAAGAGGGAATGGAGAGAAGAGAGGGCCCCTCTGCTTCCGCCATCGGCCGAGCCCCTCCGCTTCCGCCGTCGGCCAATCGTCGCAGCTCGCAGCTCGTCGCTCGTCCCAGCTCGTCGGCCGATCGTCGCAGCTCGTCCCTCGTCGCAGTTCGTTCGCCGTCGCCTCCGCATCTTCCGCCTCTGCCTCTTTCTTCTTCTTCTTCTTCTTCCTTCTCTTCTTCTTCTTCTTCTTCTTCTGGTTGATGTTGGCCCCTCCACTTCTTCTTCTTTCTTTCCTTCTTCTTCCTTCTTCTTCTTTTTTCTTCTTTTCAAATTCGGGAGATTCGGGGGGCTTTTTTCGAGCTACCAATCACGGTTGTTGATTAAAATGACTTAATTGTTATGTGACATAGTAGGTGTTTGGCATGCACTAAAAAAATATACTTTTTTTTTGTATACATATACTTATTTGGGTCGCATCAATCAACATCTATCAACA